TGAGGTCATCTCGTCAGATCGCCGGCAGCAAAGACGGTCGCCGTCAGCGGCGGTCAGTGCCTTCCTTCTCCCACCGCAGCGCCACTCCACCGACGCCGTCGCCCGCCTCCTCCCCACCGACACAACGAGGAAACAACGGCAGGAGATGTAACACCCGCAACGATCAGGCTGCCGCAGAGTCTCGTTGCAGCCGCCATGACCAGACGAGTGGGATGCAAACAAAAAAGGAAAACAATTGCCCCCTCAAGCATCTCAGCACAACGTGGAAGCACAGCAGCCGGCACACAAGGCGCAACGCCGTTCAGTGGCTACCAGCACTCACCCTCAGTTACGCGGCAACGTGGAAATGAACGAGCTCCTCCCACACAGCCATCCTGCAACACGAGTGGGTCACACGAGCAGTCGCACAAATTAACACCTCGCCATGCAAACCAGCAATCAAAGACACCGCCGGCGAAGGAAGCGATGGATGGCTGTGGCGCGCAGCCGCAATAATAAAACATGTGTCACCTTGCTTGGGGCATAAGGAAGAAGTCCAATCAAAGAGGCACACCAATTCGCACCAGAGGGAGGTAAGAGCAAACAGAAGCAAATATTCGCCTAGGGCGATTGACCGGATCGTAACGTTATTTACGAAAATCAAGCAATACAAGAGGAAGAAGGGGTAAGTGAAAAAGCAGTGGGCTCACCACACCCTCAAGCTTTGCCCAAGTAAGTATATGTACACATATGTATTCCGATAGCCACTCTCGTGACATGCTGCACTCTATTCGGATTGGATACATACATACATATATTAATAATAATTTACGAAGTGTCAAACTTTGGGGCTCTCCAGCCACAATACCCCACCGCAATGTGGGAATCAAAAGGGAGTGGGTGAGATGGTAAAATTAAATTTACGAAATTATCTGGCGGCTATCGGTTCCCTAATCCCCTAAAGTCGTGTTCTTGCCAAAAATCATACGGTATAAAAGTGTCGTAAAAAAAGTGTATTCATTTTATCAGGATACATATTAATTTAAATAGCCAGCCTTCCCCGCGATCATTCCATCCACAAGCTCCTAGAAAACAACAGCGGAAGTCCATAGAACCATCACAATACTGAATGTGGGAAGCGGGGTCGCCACGGGAGTGTGAGAACGTCATGCAGTACACTCGGCGATGCAGTCACAAAGCAGGTGCTTACACCACCACGGCCACCAGCACCCCACGAGCCCAGCATGGGGTGGAAGAGGATGCCACTGCAGCCAGCGGCGAGCACCGCAGTGTCTCTCACGGCTACCTGAAGACAAATGTCCCGGTGATGCGTGTGCCGGTGGGGAGACTGACGACGGTGCGGCACGGGTCATCCGCATGGGAATCGTCCAGCAGCTCGTTGCTGTACACAGGCGGAACACCCGGCGCGTTCGCGATGGTGATGTGCGGATGAACATTTTCGCAGGGGAACTCTCCCTCGTTGCGCACCGCGATCGCCGTCCCCTTCGGATCAGACGCAACGCTCGTCAGCGTGAGCTCAATGGACTCGCCCAGCAGCCCCACCAGCTGCTGCAGCAGGACAGGGTCCTTGCAGGCGTCACGACCCAGGTACAGCGTCGTCACATGGAAGGCCTTCTGCACCTTCTTGCCGTCCAGCATCTCTGGCGGCACAAGCTCGAGAACCCTCTCGGGTGACGCAATCTGAATTGCAGCATACTCCACGTGGCGGGGGAAACGGCACAGAAAAGACTCGCAGGCGTTCGCCACGCCCAATGCTGCCGCCATGTCGAGTGTCTGAATTTCGGGTAAGTCCGTCAAACCAATTGCGGAAAGTTCAGCCCAAACGCGCCGTGCAATGGTGGCAGTGTCGTCTGCCACGCTTACCTCAATGAGCGGCCCCTCGGTTGGTGGACGGCACCGCGTCGCGCAGAAAGCAGCCTTGACGCACGC